GGGGGGGGGAGCGGGGCGAGGGGGAGGTGCCAGAGGCTAGGCCAAGGCTGCGGGTGTCACAGAGGAGCCAGGACGACTCAAGGAGAGAAGGTGCGCGAGGTCGACAGCATCCCGGAGAAGGGACACACAGTTACGGATGGAGATGGCGAGGTGGAGATAAATTAAATAAATAGGTGCTTGGGGGTATAAATAGCAAGGAGGGCAGGGGGGCAGGGGGTAGGAGGGCAGGGGGGCGGGGGGGCAGGAGGGAGGGCAGGAGGGCAGGGGTATTGCTGCTGCCGGGGTCAGGGGCTTGGTCCTGTCACCCCTGCCCCCACGCAGGGCCCAGAGGAAGGCACTAATGAATGGGGCCCAGGTGTGCCGGGGGGCATATCGGCCCGGTGACCCCCCCCCCGGCCCCAGCCCCCCTGCCCCCCGGATCCGGGGCTCAGCCCAGAGGACAGCTCAGGACTGAGACGCCCCCTCCTCCTCACCGGTTCCGCCACCCTTAGGGGTTGCTGGACACGAGGCTGATGATCTGTTCCAGTTTCTGTCGCAACTTATGCTTCCGACAAGAGGCATCTCGCTCCAGAGCGCTGAGAACCTGGGGGAGGAGGGTCCCCCCCCCGGAGCTGGGCTGGCGAGGAGGGGCCGGTGCCTTCGGGGCAAAGCCCTCCTCCCCAGCTTGAGCTCTGCCCTCCCTCGCGCCTCGGCGCACCCCTTCCTCTCTGGCCGCCCCCCCACCCCGGGGCACGTGCGGGGAGGAGCCGCAATCCCTCCCCTGGGAACACGGGGGGCGGGGGGCAGCTTCTCCTCCACCCTGAAGCCCCTCCCGCTGCAGAACTTCGCTCCCTCCTCTCGGGGGCCAGAGGGGAGCCCCTCCCGAGAGCGGCCCGGACTGGCTGTCCCCGAGTTCCCCATCCCCTCCGAACCCCCGCCACCCGCACCCACCCCGAACCTCTCTTGTGCAGGTCTCCAGGAGCCCGTTGCCAAGCGCAGCGAGCCTGCTGGGACCTCCCCCCCCCCGTCCCCGTGACCGTCAGCAGCCCCCGGCGGGGGCGCATCACTCCCTCCTCCCTGACCACCCCTCCCCGGGTGTGTGCGTGCGCGCGTGGGCACGGCTCATTCCCGTACCGGGAGGTCACCGTGCACCTGCACTCTCGGGGTCCCTCCCAGACCCCTGGCCGCCCCTCTTCAGTCTCCGCTGCCGGCTCCCTCTCTCCTCTGCCACCTCCGAGTGTCCCAGGGCCCCAGGGCTCGGTGCGTGGGCCGCCGCTCTCGGCCGCCCTTGGTGAGCTCGTGCAGGCTCAGGGCTTTCAGGGCCGTGTCCTGGCTCACAGTTTGGTATCTCCACCCCAGACATGTCCCCACACTCCAGACTCCTATATCCACCTGCCAAATAGACATCTCTACTTAGCTTAACCTTCCCAAGTCCAATCCTATCTAACTTAGCAGCAACTCTCCCACGCATCCAAAAATGGATCTGAGCTTTAACAAAGTCTTTCTCATTTTCTTTTCTTTTTTTTAAAGATTTTATTTATTTGAGAGAGAGAGATCACAGAAGTAGAGGAAGAGGGAGGAGATTCCCCGTTGAGCAGGGAGCCCAATGTGGGCTTGATCTCAGGACCCCAGGATCATGACCTGAGACCAAGGCAGAGGCTTCACTGACTGAGCCACTGGGTACCCCAAGTCTCTCCCCTTTTCCAGGGTAGGTCTTGGTGGTTCTGAAAAGCTTTGGGTCTCTGGCTCCTGATCCCTAGAAGACTTTTTCACCCAGTCTTTCTAACTTTTGTTTGGGATGTTGAGCTCATTCTTCAAGTTGTTTAGGGAAAACCCCCAGAATCCTTCTTGACGCCTCTTCATCTCCTGGCACCCGTCCAATTCTTCAGCAGGTTGTTTCTATTCCAACTGTTTAGAATAGGCCATCTCACGCCTTCTATTGATAACCCCGTGGGGGTCCAGGCAGCTGTCTTCTGGCGGGTGTGAATGCAGTAATCTGCCACCTGCTGTCCCTGATTCTAGTGTTAACCTCTTACACTCTGTTCTCAACAGAGAAGCTACAGTGATTCTTGCTTTCAAAATGTTGAGTCAGATCATGTGTCTCCACTGCTCAATTCCCTTCACTGGCTCCATTCTCACCCAGAACATAAGCAAAGGTCTTAACATTGACCAACAAAGCTTCTTGGCTGTGCCTTCAACATTCTAGGTTTTCTGAATTAGGGCCCTGCGGTCTGTTCTCCCTGCCGTGTTTGGTCACCTGCAGCTCCTGGCTTACTCCCTCATCTCCTTCAAGTCTTCCCAAAGCTCATATTCTCACCCTACTTCCTCAAGCAGCTGGCCCCCCACAGACCCACACACAGGCAATTCCTTTCCGACTGCCTTTTATTTTCCATGCCATTCACTACCTTCTAATACAGTAGAATGTACAAATTTGGTATTTTCAATTCCTGTCTCCGCTGTCTTGGGTTGGTGGTCTAGTAACTACAGTTACATAACCACCACACCCAAACCTAGTGACTTAAACCAGCCACTTAGTTGCCCTGCTTGGGCAGTCCCCGGGGGTCAGGCTCACGTATGCTCCACGGGATGGCGCCGCCGGGGGCTGAGTGTCGGGCTCCGAGAATCTGCTTCCAAGAGGCCTCAGTCCCACAGTCTCCGGGCCAATGGCCTCGGTTCCTTTCCATGTGGTGCAGGCTTCCTCATAGCATGATGGCTGGGTCCTAGGGTGCATATCCCAAGAGAGCACCAGCCCTGTGGGCCAACCTGCTCTTCTCTGGGTCAGGGGCTTGGGCCGGGGTGTGCTGGGAAAAAGCATTCATGAGGTCAGCTTCGTACTTCTCAGGGGCAAGTAATTTCATGTGGCTTCTTCTCCTCTCTCTGCCTTTGGCCTGCTGCCCCAAACCTGAGCCCCCAGCACTCCGGTTGTCCCTTCCTTGCTTCATGGCGTAGAGAGGCCACTGACCCAGTATCCAGAGCAGCTGGGAGCCTCAGCCATGGAGAGAGGGTGGTGGCCCAGGACACTTCTGCTGGGGAGAGGCAGGCTGGAGCTGTGGCTTTTTAAGGTCAGTAATGAGGAAGATCAGGGAGGGTCACGGACTTTGCCAATTACTGCAGTTAGTTTCTGATGAAGAAAAGAGGTGTCAAGATGGGGTTCGGCGGAGCAGTGCTCAACTGTTCGTAGCAAAATAACGTGGATGTAGGTGATTCCCTGTGAGTTCGGTTAGGTTTGCTGTGCTTGCAAATGGCAATGGGGGCCTATGTTCACATACTCAACTTTCCAAGTGTGTTCTGCACTTATATCGAATGTCATCACTTTAAACAAATAAGAGAGAACGTGAGTATGATTCCCCCTTATAAGACTTTTATTAATGCCAGAAATGAAACAGTAAAAACATAATGAATTTTTTAACATCAGCATGATTATCGGTACAAGGATGGTATTAACAAGGACCGAGAAGGCCTCGAGAGGAGAAAGTCAGGCCTGAGGGGAGCCTTCAGTCTGACTCAGATCTAAAGGTCACAGTTCAGCGTATCCTTGCTCTAAGGAAGAGGCCTGGACATGGACTTCCACAGGATGATTCTGTGCCTTTGAGCTCCTCCCTCCCCAAGGAAAGCTTAACTCCCAAAGTTCCTGGGCTTGTGGCCTTAGGGACTTGCAGGCTTGAAACCCTTCTGCACTGCACAACCCGATGTGCAGGAATTTCCTAACAAAATGAGATGGAATAAAGCAAAAAGGAACTACGGAAAACTGTGGGATCGATGTCTGCGCTGTCCCGCTGGCTTCTGGGAGGGGGCACCTGGTGCAGCGTACGCACATGCCGTGTCCACTTGACCCGGAATGCTATCTGGGATCATTTCCATTTTCAAACAACCCCAAACCTCAGCCCCGGTCAGATTTGTAGCCCCGTTACACCTGCATTACCTCCGCAGGAAAGCAGGATTTGGCCGGCACCGTTCTGACCTACGGTGCCTCTCTCAGGAGCATGCGCTGCTGTCAGCTCAAAGTTACCTCTACTTCGTATCCCTGAGTCCTCGTGCTTTTGGGTAACCATCCATTAGCAGCCTTATCAAAGCGGGACATAATCACACACACCCTGGGAAGGAGCGTGAAAGGCATCCTTTTTGTAAAATCCCTAATTAATTGCTCCCAAACAGGTCACACTAGTCGAGTGTGTACTGCTTCGTGTGGTCACTACTTCCAGGAAATATTCTGTAGAAAGAGGTTTTGGGTGTGGGCAATCGGCTGCCATTTCACTACTGACAATTTCAGCTGTAGTTTCTTTTCTGATCTGTCTTCAGTCTGGGGTGGTTCTTGGCCCTTGGGCATATAACTTTTCTGCACCAGCCTCTGTCAGGTAATCGGGAATCTAAACACAGGTGCCCCCCGCCCCAAAGGCAGGTACCATCTAGAACTGACAGCCCTGGCCTCTTGCCTGAGGCTCTATGACTCTTCGCAAGTCACACAGGGAAGAAGGCAGCTCCTTACAGGCTCCGACCTGTGTGTTGTGCCATGGTGTGGGCTGCAGGGACCTCTCATTTCTCCGCCCCGGCTCATGAAGGACTCTTACATCATTTAAAGCATTCAACAATTTCCCCCCACTTTCCTCCGGGAAGAAAATGAGGTCACCAGGTCCTGCTGCTTTGAACGTCAGAAGTACTTCTTTAATGGTCTGAAAAGCCAAGACTGACATTTACTTACCTTTGGGGCAGTTTGAAACCCGAAAACCCTACAGCAAAGCCTACAACTGCCCCGACTGGCCCTGTCATCAACCTGCCTGCCTAGTCAATCCATCCTCCTACAAGACACAAAGCCAGGCAGAATGGCGGACCCGTATCCGCTTACTTCCCAGGTGTTCAATTTGTCTTCTGGCTGCAGGTGCTCAGAACAATCAAGAAGGGCCATTAAATAAAACCCTGTGCCCGACTGAGACTTTTGTCTGGGTCCCCTGGGCCCCAGTGCCCCATCAAAGAAGGGGTGACACGATGCCTTCACGACAGAGTGGGACTGTTTGCTCTCAGGATTTAGTCATTGCTAAAACAGAAGGGAAAATTTCATCGGGAAATTTGAGGATGGAACTCATTGTTTTTTGTTTTGTCGTGTTGTGTTTGTTTTCTGGTCATAACTGTCTATCACTCAAAAGCTTGGGTCCAGCATAAGACAGCCAGGGACGATTCGTGCCTTCCCGAGGTGACAAAAAATTCTTCCATCAGCACTAGCCAGCTCACGGGAAACACACTGCAAGGGCACCACGCAATCCAAGAACGGATTTCACAGTGATCGTCAAGAGGTATTTCTAATGGTAACTACTGATTATGTGAGAGTTTCCCATTTGAACACCACACAAAGAAAACCTGGCTTGACATGCATACCTTTCAAGTAAGAAAGCACCTGCTCAAAATCCTATGAAAGGGAGAGGAGATGATGACTCATCTCGTGTCTGCACGGGTTCCTCATGTCTCCAAGGGTGACCAAACTGATAGATTTCATCAAAATTCTCTGAGGCAGTGTAAGATGGTGCAATGAGCCTGCGATGGGCAGCCAGGCCAACTCTATTCTAGGCCTCACTCTGGGTCTTGGCTCTGTGAGGGACCTTAGGCAGTGTTCCTTCTTCTGGTTCTCGGTTTTCTTTCCTTCCAAGTGGGGGCAACAATCTCTGCCAAGCCTAGCTTCTGAGGTTTTTTAGGAAAGAGATGAGATGATGCATGTGAAAACATGCCGAGAAAGGCCGGTGGCAATGAAGTCCCAGCGTCATCCGATGTGCTTATCACAGAGCCCGGGACTGACTGCCCCTGTCACTTGAATTGTCTTTCTCTGGGGATAGAAATGATTTGTCTGTTGGACTCTTTGAGTAAGGAATGCAGATTCTGCCACCATCTCTGGGTTTGATCCCCTCAATCAGGTCTTCAGGGGCTGGGGCAAGATGGTCTCCAGGAGCCTCTCTGCCAGTATAGTTTGTGACCCAGGAAGCACGGAAGAGAGGTCAGAATTTTCAAGCATGAGAGTCAAATGATTCTGGTGGGCAATACTGGCTCTGATCTGAACTCCCAATGCCCCGCTGGAGAGATTCTCAACCAAACTCTGGGGAAAATATGCTCCCAAGTCTTGTTTTTATTGATCCTACCCTGCCGGAATGAATGGAATTTTCTACATTACAGTCCGTGGCTCTGGAATCCTCCATCGCTGCCTCTCCTGTCTGCGGAGCCAACTCCAAGCATCCCGGAGGCTCTGGGCTAGCATGGCTGGGGAAGGCCACTGCCGAGACGGGTGGGGGTGGGGGTGGGGGCTGGGAAACTACCTCCTCCTCCTCCCCATTCAGTGTGTACAAATACATCCTCTCTCCCCAAGGTTCTTGCCAAGCCCACAGAAATCACAGATTCTCTCTGGATCTTGACCTGCATTGACCATTGGTGCAATTCTGGCAAAAAAACTCAGAGCAATCCCTGAGCTTCCCTGCCCCATACACGGCCCAAGCACATGTCTCACACTTTAGATTGCCTCTCATCCGTCCACTCCTGCTTTGTGCTCTGGAGGGCTTGGGTCTTCTGCTCATCCACCTGGACATAGTCGACTCTTTGCTCTTCTGAAAGGAGAAGTTTCTAAAGGGGGAGAACAAAAAGGTTTTCATTACATTGAATAAAAAAAAAATCAGGAAAATGTCTGTCCTTTTGGGGTAGATTACAGCGTCGTTAAATATTTGCTGCCCCTTCCTCCTGGGTCATTCCCTGCAGAATCCTTACACTTTGGGTAGATGGTTAAATATCTCTTTTCCTGGGCTCCCTTCAACTTTGCTCTAGCCGTTCGGCCCGCTCTGACCAATATAACGTGAGTGGAGGTGACACATGCTGACCCGAAAGGGAAAAGACCTAGCACGTGATTCTGCCACGAGACCAGCGTGCCTCAGCTGGGGGGGCTGCTTCTCCTGGATGGAAGATGACCTGGCCTGCAGCCAACTGGTCTGTGGGCAATAATGGAAAAGGCCTTGGCGGTTGCAAGCCACCAAGCCTGGGGGGTTGTCTGTCTTGACTGCAGAGCCCTGCACCAAAACTGACTGAGGCACCTTTTGTACTTGCTGGTCTACCCCTTCTGACTGGTTTTTCTGGAATATCAGTTCAGGTTTTGGGAATGAAATTAAAGGTAAAGGAGAAGTGGGAGTTCATTTGGCAAAAGGAAAGGGAAATCTTCCAGATTTTTTTCTTGCGCACACACACAAAATGGAGTCATACTGTATATCCTGTTCAGCTAAATTGCTTCTCTCATCAAACAATATATATCGTTCAGCACATTTTAGATTACAACGACCCCTTGCTCAAAAATATTTAGCTGTTTTGCACTGCTTACCATCATTCATTCCGTGGCTTACACTGTGTAGTGGGTGACCAGCCAGGGTCGCTTACATGTATTAACTCCTTTCATCCTCACGACAGGCCTCGATGTCGATGCTATTACTTCTGGTCCCCACTTTACAGGTGAGAATACTATATAAAGGCGTCAAAACTGCCCAGCCTGGCATTTGAGGCTCTTTACTGAGGGGTGCCATTTCCAACTGAGAGCTCCCCAGAGTCTAACCAAACTACGCCATTCCTTCTTCCCTAAGCAGACCCCTCCTACGCCGATACATATCGGTATATTTAAGACCTTCCAAAGAGAACATGCATGGTTGAATCATCAGAAAATCTAAACAGAAAAGGAATCTCCTGGGAATTCTCAGACACAAGGTACTTCCTACCTGCTGTATAGGGGCTGGTGATGCTGAATTGAAGTCCAGAGCTAAATAATCCAAGCTGAATTTCTTTGTCCATGTCAGAGCACCGCTGCTTAGGGAGTTGGCTGTTCTGTGATTCTAGAAACCAACATCACAGGACTCAGGTTAAGGATATCTGGCCGGGCTGCCCAAGGGAAGGAGGGCGAGTCACGTCTCCACTTGAGCATCGGCCATCAGATCACAATGAGAACTGCACAGAGCAGCCTCCCTGTCTGAAATACAATATAGACAATTCAGCTTTCACACACAGCTATACCTTTATTCACCACAGAAACAGTTGGCCAAAATCTCCCTCAAGAAGAAACTGTTTTAAGGATATGACAGGCCCAAGATACCTTAGAGACTAAATCCCCAAAAGATTAATCACATTTATTAAAGTTCTAGTAAAGTTGCCCCAGATGCACTCAGACACTTTATACAATGTGCACAGTGTAACGTGTGCGACACACACCCGTGGACTCCCCACTCAGCCTCAGAAGCACCTGTTGCCCTTCTACGACCTCCTTCTCTCCTCACCAGAGACTAAGCACTATATTGAATTTTGCCTTTACCACTCTTTTCAAATACGGTTTTGACAGTGTGTAAGTACCCTTAAATCACATACTTTAGTTTTGCCTGTTTTGAACTTTTATCTCCGACTTTACTATCACCAAACTATTTCTTTTTTTTTTTTTAAGATTTTATTTATTTATTTGACAGAGAGAGACACAGCGAGAGAGGGAACACAAGCAGGGGCAGTGGGGGAGGGAGAAGCAGGCTTCCCGCTGAGCAGGGAGCCCGATGCGGGGCTCAATCCCAGGACCCCGGGATCATGACCTGAGCCGAAGGCAGACGCTTAATCGACTGAGCCACCCAGGTGCCCCTATGATATTTTCTAAATGAAGAGTCGTTCCCACTTTTAATGTAATATTTTCCTGAGTGGCTTGTTTTTGTATTTTAAGGAATCCTTCCGATGCTGAGGTCGTAACTTGTTGCCCCATATTTTCTCCTAAAATTATAAAGTTTTGCCCTTCACATTTAAGTAATAATGTAGCCTGAGCTGATTTTAACCTATGGTGGTGAAATAGGGATACAGGGGCGCCTGGGTGGCTCAGTCGTTAAGCGACTGCCTTCGGCTCAGGTCATGATCCCAGGGTCCTGGGATCGAGCCCCACATCGGGCTCCCTG